ATTGGTAAATTCTTGTACTAAGGGACCTATGTGGTGTATAAACATGTATTTCTTATGTATGAAGTTTATGTTACGGGCAATGTGTGGCATGGGGAGTTACAATTCAGTGATAAGAAGAATCACATAATGAAAAGATCTTTTAAACCATTTTATCACTGAAGAAGAATAGCTTCAGTGATGGTTTTGTTTTAAGAAAGGAAAAAATCATAGAAAGATATATTTCCATTATAATATCCTTGTTCTGTTAACTCATACAAATTGAGTTAAGTGAATTTTTTGTAGAATTATGCATAACATATTTGTACCCTATGTTTAACCAACTTGTACTTTGGGCTAGTTTTGTGTCAAAAGTTGAGTTTATACCTATCTATACTACCTTATTAAGCAAATTTAGTAAAAGTCTTAAAGTCTTCAAATACTAAATGACCAAAATACCCTTATCTATACTACCTTTACCTTTACTTTTCAACCCTACCCTTTACTCGACTACCATCCCTAAGATGCCGCTTCCATCGCTCCCCCCCCCCAAGACGACGTTTTAGCCAAGTCGTCCCTCCCAATCCGACGATTTAGGCATTTCTCTCACTCCCTAAGATGACGATTCCTTTAAAGCAAGTTTCCATCATTCACTCATTCAAATCCAATAAAGTTGAAAAAGGGTTTTGCACTGAGTGGGGGAATCATACTGTAGGTTGATTTTCTTGAGAAGTGAAGGATTGCAGGTTGATGTTCTTGTGGAGGATTTAACACAACTGAGAAAATGACCATTGCGTAAATCAGAGGTAAAGGTCTTTCCACTATCGCTTATTCATACTTCTCGGTAACCCTATAATTCTTTTTTCATACTTTCGATCTCTCTTGGTTTGGTTTCATCTTTGTGGTTTGTTTTGAGTTTGATTTTGGACCATTTTTATGAAATTTTGGTCCGAGTCCAGGTAGAGTTTAAATTTTTTTTGCTTGAAATTATTTCATTGAGTAAGGTTTTAGGCAAGTTATAAGTTTGAATTTAGTTTAGGTAGGTTTTAGGTTTGATTTGAATTTAGGCTTTTGTTTTCAATTTTGTTTGAGTCTAGGCTAAAGTTTATTTTTGAATCTCCAATGTTTAAATCAAATTGTAAAAGTAAATGATGAATCCCATACACCCTACTTTCACTTGTTGGGTCTTCATTGAATTGGATTTGGCTTGAAATGCTTGGCTCAACAGCTGGTACTTGCTCATGAACAAACACCATAATAGAGGGGTATTTCAGTTCCAGATCAAAGTAAGAGTTGATTAAAAATATCAGATATCATTTATGCGAAAATCTACTATTTACAGTTTAATGCAGCTAGCGACATAAGAAGTTGTGATCTTGTTCAAAAGATAAAAATCAGGTTTCACGTGTTCTCACAAGACATAAGAAGTTGTGATCTATTTATGTCATGGTTTTAGTCATTGCTATTTTTTAGATGTAAGGCCTTTTATCTCAAGTTAGGTGGGGTAGACAAAGGATTAAACTATAAGAAATTATAGACCAGTGAAACCCAAAAGCAAACCTAATGCGGCAAACTCTTACCAAAAATTAAATTTATGGTGAACTGAACATTCCTAATGCTTGGATGACATTGAGAATCACTATCAAAACAACAATATGAGAAATTTATACTTTGGTGATCAGCCAAGGAATAAACTTGACATATATTTACATAAAAATGATGGGAAAAATGATGGTCCAAAGCCTTTCATTGCTTTCACCACTGGAGGACCCTGGGTAATAGGGTATAAAGCATGGGGTTCTATATTAGGACTCCACTTATCAGGTACATAAGTCATAGTGGCATGCATAGACTACAGGTAAATTTGAGAACCAAATGTGATCCTCATCATGTTTAATCTATAGTAAAATTTGTCTTTATTATTATTGTGTACTTGTTGACCGATGTCGAGTCCAACAAATAATAAGTTCCAACTACGGCAAATTACAACCAAAATTGTAATAGCGGTAAGTCGGTTCGATTCCACAAAGACTCGGTTTCAACTTATTATAGCCAAACTAATCAAGTACAAGTTGACTGAATAAAAGTAAATACGAAGGGGGGGGGGGTTGGATTTGATTAATTAAGCTAAGCATATAATTAAAATCAACTTAAAGCAAATAAATAAAAACCCAACATTAGTTACTTTTGATTAAGACGGTGGTACTAATCATCGATTCCAATAACGTAAACGTAATGAATAAAACCAAGTTGATTATAGTCGTTAATAAGCTCTAACGACCTATGTTTTTCCTTAAGAAACACCGGCTAAAACAAGCTCTTTAGCCGGATCTTAATCGCAATTAAGACRTTGAATAAGCTCTMAAGTCKAAAAATRTGCAWTTAGCTTTATAGGACTAGAAAAACATCAAYTCAAAGCCATAAGCTCATAAGCTCKGCTTAATGAGGCTTTGGATGCAAGATTTCAAAAATCTAATTCGGAAACCTCAACGAAACCAAATAGATTTAATTGTTACTTTATCAAAATGTAAAGACGATTACGTATCTCAACTTTTGAATAACAGTATTTCATAAGAACACCAAGAAATTGGCCAGATTACTCAATACTCAAAATGAAATTGACATTAAAATGGAAATCAAACATATAATTTCATCCCAAACGATTACAATGGAGTCTCAAAGTAACCACAATCAAAATCTAAAGTGACTAACGTTGGAATGAAGAGATTAGCCACACATGACTAATCTAGGGTTAACAAACTAAGAAATTAAAGAAATTACCAAAAGTGATGAGAAATTGATGGTGAAGTCCACTCAATCGGCTCTTGCTGTCTCTGTCTTCTTCAATCGAACAGCCACCTCCTGTCCGCCCCCGCTCTCCAACAGCCCTCGTTCCATATATAATGAACCAGCCTCCATCTCTTCAATCATGTTCCTCTCCGATCGATCGATCGCACGCAACTTTTCCATCTTGAACCCCACGAACTATAGTCTTCTCCTTTCCTCAAGATCCCACGTTCTTCTCCTTCGAAACCCACGTTCTTCTCCTTCAAGAAACCAGAAAAGTTCCTCTGTTTTTTTTCTTTTTTTAGACTGCTGCTGCAGATGGGTTTTATTAAAAACATTTGATAAAATATGCTTCCTTTTTACGCCATTTGAATTTGTATGCCCTGTCCAGAACCCATTTCATATATATGCTCAGCCTCATATTCCTTCAGAAAACTATGCCTGACCTTGTAACAGTTTCGAAATATATGCTCTGTTTGTAATAAAATCCATCATTTTTGCACCCATCAAAAACCAATCAATAACTAAATTAAAGGGGTTCTATAAGCTATATAAACATTAAAATATGTACTAGATTCATTATAAAAACATGTTTAAATATAAGCTTATCAAATATCCCCACACTTGGACCATTAACCGTCCTCGGGTAAACAGTAAGCATTTAGCACAAAGCAAACTCCATAAGTTGATTTTGAGAGAATAGATAAAATGAGATACATAGCATTTCGTGAAGGCACGATTTAACCGGTATAATAACAATAAACACACAAGACAAAACAAAGATGAGCACTTGCTAATTTCACAAACACCTCACAAAGGATATATGCAATACACTCGCTTATTCACACAATGGTGTAGGTGTTTTCACTCTTGGCATCAATTCACATGCACATACACCACTATAAGCTTGCATCAAGTCTCAATTCTCCATTGCTAATGGTCAATACTAAGTGTGGATCAAAAGGTCTTTGGTAAGGGTTGTAACTTGGTTAAGGGCCAAGGTAGGGAAAATTTTGGTTAAGTGACTAAAATTGGACCTTGGAAAGGAAACTACAACTCAAACATGAGTCTCGTGTCTTGTCAAAGCGCGATCACAAAAAATTTCGATCTCTTAGCTCTTATTCGCTAAAAACATTATGGAGACAATTGTGTTTTTTCCATTGTTCGGCCTCCATGTATTCATTTTTTTTTCATTCCCACATATGGAACATATATATTTTTTCTTTTCTTTTTCTTTTTCTTTTTCTCCCTTTTTTTCTCTTTTTTTTTCAAACCTCTACCGATCATTATATAGGTGTTGAGGATCGTGTAGAAGGTATAAAGATCAAACAACAAATACTCCTAACTAAGAGTATGTAGTCTCATTCCAAAGTCCGGTGAGGGAAGTGTTTGGCTTAAGGGTTATCTTGTGGTGTTAAAGTCAAGAAAATGGGTAACTAGGCTCAAAAGAGTTGATCAAAAAGGACATTAGTGTAAGGGTTGGCTTTTTGGCTAAATGGTTAAAATTAACATCAAAGATGGCCTTTTTCATTTCCACAAYTAGTATCGCCTAAATGCAACCTCAAAGAGTCAAAATGCAAGTTCTAGAATKACATATACATGGAAGATGCAATGCACACATCAAATAAAATAAGATTGAATACAATGTTCAATCATGGCTCAAAAGCTCACGGGTGCATTTTTGTCTATAAAATTTAGCAAGACTCACAATGGTCATCTCAAATGTGCTAATCATGACTACACAAGCAAAYSACACARTCATTCATGCTATGGTTTTCATGGCATTACAAGCAGAAAATTATCAACTCATGCAATTTACTTAATAATTGCCCAAAAACAAGCCAAATTCAAAATTTTGTGCAAAAATTTGAGCCCTTAATCATGCAAAATCCTCACACTAATTCATTTCCTATCCCCACACTTAAACCATATATTGTCCTCAATATATGCATGTCATGGCACAATCTATAAGCAATAAAAATAAAATGGAAAGAAAACTCCCCTGAATTGAAGATGTGTGCCCAATACATGGTTTTCGGTGTTGGCGGGTGCCTCCGTGCACGTTGGGGGGGTATAGAACGCCGACCTGGGAAAAAAAACAAACTCACCGACTCAAAATACAACTAAAAATAATTAAAACTAAACTAGAAAAGAAATAAAGCAATAAAATTGGGTTGCCTCCCAATCAGCGCCTTTCTTTAACGTCTTTGGCTAGACACTTCCCTTTCAACTCCGCCTTATCCTTCATGATTGGTTTGTTCAAACACTTGTGGCACGGAAGGATTAAGGAAATCTGCAAAATACTCATAGGGCATACCGTTAAGGTGTTCATTTAAAGAATTAGCAATAAATGCAACTTTTCTATCCTCAACCTCCATAGTAACGGTATCTTCATCTAAATCAATAATGGTTTTGGATGTGTTCATAAATGGTCTCCCTAAGACAATTTCATCATAAATAGCGGGGCTACCCGCTCCTATGTCAAGCACATAAAAGTCTACAAGGAACACTAATCCATTCACTTGAATCAAAACATCCTCTACCATCCCTTTAGGGGGTACATCATGGTCATCCGGTAATCGGATAAGTGAATTGGTCACTTTCAAGGGACCGATATTCAAACAGTTAAAAATCGACAATGRCMTGATGTTTAYAGTYGAGCCTAAGTCTAAGATGGCCTTGTCAATGCCAAAATCGCCTATCTTACATGGAATAGAAAACTCACCTGGATCCTCGCATTTAGATGGTAGCTTTGGTCGCACGACCCTTAAGGTGTCTTCTACTTCAACAACTTTCTCTTCTTTCTCCGCAATGGCTTCTTGCTCATCATCACCATCTGCTTCTTGAACTGTTTGAGATATGTCTTCAATCTTCTCGGGAGTCGCTTCCAACTTGTACTCCTTCTTTAGTTGTCTAAACCTTTCAGGAAACGGTGGTGGAATGGCAAATTCGGACGTCTCCTCTTCAATAACATTTCTCATTCTTGCTCTACCAGCTTTCTTCTCACTCTTCAAGGTCATCATACTCACATTCAACTTCGAAGGTGTTTCCGTTTGGGAGGGCAGTTTCCCTCGAGATTCCAATCGGCTCACAGCAGTTGCAAGCTGTGTCATTTGAGCTCCCAAATTTTGAATACTAGCCTCCGTTTTCTGTTGGAATTGAAGAGTGTTAGTGGCTAGATTTTTAACAATGTCTTCAAGGGACATACCTGAGCCACTAGAATTAGCTT